TGTATCTTAGAAGAATTAACAAACAAACATACAGAGACGCAACAATATGATATTATATTAAAGTTTAAAGTGAAAGACAGCCAGAAGGTAGAGAGAACAAAATATCCAGTATGTTAAGCACATGTGTGGACACTTGCACTGGTCTTCTCTAACAACTTGCTTAATATGATAATTTCAAACTGTGCTGCCAAAGAACTTTTAAGATGTTTTTGACACTCTCACTAAATTTATTGACAAGAATATTTTCACAATTTGTTGCTGCCATTTTATGATTTGTTTTCCTGTGAATGACACATGTACAACTAAATTTTCAGTGCTTTGAACTAGGTCCACTAGATGGTTCTATTCTACAACAGACTGTGTAACACAGTCTTGACATTAATACTTTGGCCAGCAGCTCAAAGAGATCACAGATTGTGATTCGAATACTTGCCTCACAGACCAGATTGTTATTCCCTGCAGTGCATGGTAAAGTGCTGAAAAGTAATCCACATCCAATACAGTTACTTCCTCTTATGCAATGCTAGTTATTTGACCTCAATTTTGTTCCAGTAGCCCTCCATCCCTCAATTTGACCACAAGTCTTTCATCTTGGAAAATATATTTTGATCTTAAGAATTTCAAACTTAAATTCTGCAAAAATAAATCCTGGTCATGGCAGCAAAACTGTTCTTAATAATTTAATAGGTAAGTTATTGGAGAGCTTTCGCAGGATTTGCTTAGCAGAGTTGTACTGAAGTTTGACTCAACCAAGTAATAACAAAGACTGACACAAATTCTTCACATACGGAATCACTTCTATTGAACACAAGTCACATGTAGATATTATGTCTTTACTCAAATATTAACACATGGACTCTTTTTAACTAGTTTGGATATCTGTAGTCGGTGCTTGCTGCAGACATTTTCTGAGAAAGCCAACACACTAAGGCTCAAATAATCAACTTTTTTTTGAGTTGCATTAAGTCCTATTCCTCACTAGAGCTATCAAAATGCTACATCATCAGGCAAGCCCCATTAATAAAAAAGTGGAAACCAAAGTTATAGATTTTTCTCTGTCCACAGATAACCAAACCACCGAAAACACATTAAAACTTGCTTAACGAATAATCAAGAAAACTGACAAGGTGTATAGTCATATCTGCGGCCAAACCCATGATCTTGTGTAACAGTTTCTAGTGGCAGGACTTGCGCAGTTCAAGTTTGGACACATCCTATTCTTCTATGACATATAACTAGATACAGAAATGCAAATATCTAAATACAGATATACTCATATACTAAATTTAAAGAAGTTTAATTTATGATATTTACATATCATAGTATTTTTTTTTTCTGAAAATTATGAAATCATTTAAATACTGGATTTTTTGCTTTATACAATATAGCATCGTCAAATATCTATTCGTTTAATCATGTATATAAGTATTAATGGCTAAGATAGACATCCATAATAGCAGTCCAGTATTAAACCAATTATGTGAAACAGACAAGTTACATCCCTTAACTCAGAAACTTTTAAAATAAAAAAATACATATACATATTTGTTTGTAAGTAAACTAATGATTTTTTTCCTTATTTAACACTATGACAAATATGTTTAATTTGATTGAACTGTTATTTTACTTACAAGGAAGTCAAGATTCAAATATTAACTAGGAAAATGTGATTCAGCTGGTTCTGTATGTTAAGAGGGACAATATTACTCTTCCTAAAATGGTCTTTTTTACATCTACAGAATATTTAATCTTTCTTTACTTTCATGTGATTAAAACATTTGCTCTGAAAACCTAACTCATGCATATAAAAAATTAACTAGCAAATATAACACCAAACTTCAACTAAATGTTATCAGAATATCACGATGCAACATAACTTACACATAAACATCACATAACAGAGTTATGAATTCTGTAACAGCAGATTAACATAACCATAAATGACTATGGGATAGAAATTATCAACTTAAAAATTAATCACATACCAAATTTCATTCTTGCAGGAATTGATGTGATTGCTTATTAAGCAGATGCTCTAGCCAGTTTCCTTAATTATTTTTTTGCTACAGATTGATCAAGACCAAGATTTTATTAACAATTTCTAAGTGATACACTTTATTAAGTCAGATAAGAATGTTATAAGAATTCAAATGCAGCTTTGTTGGCATGTTAAGGAATTTTAAATACATAAATCAAACTTTGTTTATAAATATCACAAGGTTATCTTATGAAGTGAATCTAGTATACTGTCACACCTATTAGTAGAAAAGTGTTGCAAATATACTGATACATCACAGAATACCTAAACTTTTAAGTAATATTTATTTTCTTCGCAGAAATTGATGATAACTTTTGCCGAAGAAGCTTCTAGACTGCAATCCTGGAGTCTCGAGATATCTGCAGAAGCAATGCCAGACAGATTCTCGCAACCATCTACTGCTAAAGTACTTTCTGTAAGAATAGATAGAAATAAAGCACATTTCAAAATTGCATTAGTGCTTTGATTTAGCTCATACAGTTTCAAAGAACTTATTTGAGTGGTGATACAAAGATAAAGAAGTAGCATGATTCAGTTTGTCCAGGAACACCAAATCATTTTGTAATCTTAATCTCACTGATTTTAATTTTTTTAGTTTTAAGATATGATAGAGCTATATTTGATATCACATTTTAATAAGCCCTTAGATGAGTTTCTAAATTTATTTGTTCATTTGTTGAATTTTGTGCAAACCTAATCGATGGCTATCTGCACTAGCTGTCCCTAATTTAAAAGAGATAGACTAGAAGAAGGTCAGCAAGTCAATACCACCTACCTCCCAGCTCTTAGATTACTGTAATCAAAAAGTGGGATTGACAGTCACATTTCAAAGCCCCTCAGCTGAAAGGGCAAGCACATTCGATGATGGAGTTTGAATACTGCAACCTGCATATTGTAAATCTAGCACTCTAACCACCAGTCCATGTCAGGCTCCACTTTAAGCTTAAAACTTGACTGTAGTTTTAGCACACTAAAATCTTACATGAGTCATCATTTGAGTTAAGTTATGTAAAGTTATATGAATACCATACCCGAGTGATTAAAAGAATTAGTGAAAGAGGAATATTTATACAAAACAATTGAAAAACAATGCTGTTGAATTCATTTACTAGTCTTGTTATTTTTGAAAAAAGTGCACTGTAAATAATATACAATATATCTTTCATGTGACTTGAATAAATATTTTGGTTGAGTTTTACATGTATAATGTAGATTTATACAATTCAGACCAACTGTTCATTCAACTTTCCATTCCACAGATCTAGCTTTTAGAGACACCTAATTAAATTCTTAGATTGGCTAGGACAATGGTACAACATTTTCAGTTTGGGGTTTTTTTGCAAAGCTGAAAGCTGAACAATTAAGTAAACAATATTCCCTCTAATTTTTTCAATCCATGTGTGGAATGAATTTTTTCATGCACACCAGTATTAAGAGAATGTGCACTACCATTTTTTTTTGGGGGGGGGGGGTATTTTTAAACCATCAACCCTATTGGATAACACAGGCTTGCAAATTTAAACTTCATAACAGTTGATTTGGTGTTAATAATGGATGTGATATATGTGATGACTAAGACAAGTCTAACGGACTTGGGTGGGGCCTGACCTAATTTTCATTTGTAACAAATATTGGCAAAGCTACAAATATTACTCTGTTCTTGGACTGAAAAAGATTTCTTGTTCTCAAACCTGACTGGCCAAGGCCTGAAACTGAAAACTCAGGCAGACTCTGGCCTAAAACTTGCCAGTCCGAACTCATCTCTAATCATGACAACCATTAAGCAATCCGTAGTTTGAGAGTGCACAGTAGTTCTCCAAGACCATGAGAACCATTATGTAATCTATAGTTTCAAAGTGCACAATAGTTCTTTGAGGCCAAGACCAGAATTATCAATCCATAGTTTACATGTGCATAGTAATTTTCTGAGGCCATGACAACCATTATGTAACCAGTAATTTCAAAGTTCATGGCAGTTCTGTGAGGCTTACTGTTAGAAAGTTTTTTCTCAGCAATATTTTCCCAGATAATAATAAATAATAACTAATGGAAACCTTCTAATGATTACTTTGTGTTACCCATTACAAATACTTTAAACATCTCAAAAATAACAGAATACACCTACCAGGGTACCTACCTAAGCACAGTAAAAAGAAATACAATAAAAAAAAACTGACAGTTTACGTTAAATGTTAATAATTTTTCTTTTAGAATGATTAATGAGCATTGTCAACACTGCAAACATGCATACATATCAACGTTTTTTTGTAATCAAATATAATTTGTACAAAAAAAAAAAGACAAATACTGATGTGGTGCTCTATACTAGTAATGGATAATTCACAACTTACCATATTCACAAAGTCCCATACTTCTTATTAACTGGAGTATGGTTTCTTCTGTTAGGCTTGATTCTAAGATGGCTCTTATTTTGTCTTGTACAATCTTGTCAACAGGGGGACAACTGACCTAGCAATAGATAACATCTGTATTTATATCAAAACCTCTAACCCAAAAGTTCAGGGGTTTTCAAACATTCCTACTCTGGAAATTCTTTTGTGAGGGTAAGCAGCCCAAGATTTTTCCATACGTTGGTTAATTAAAAATTAACAGATAATGAGTATCATTCTAGGAAAATAATTGCACACATTCAATTTATTTTTAAACTATTTCATAACTTTAAAGCACTCAATCACAAAACCTACAGAAAACAAAACACACACATACACATTTTTAAATCACAGAACCCTTAAATTTAAATACTTTTTCAAAATGATTAAAAAATATATATTGTGAAAGAAAGTGTTAGTTTTTAAATGTTTGATATCTTATATACAGCATGTACATGAAAGAATGTATTGTGATTATCTATTTTACTTTTTTTGTTACGTTATTCAAAGCATAGTATGCAAGCAAACTTTGCTCATAAAGTAGACAAACACAGTTTTGATTTTCATAGCCCATATGACTTACTTGAATCAATTTTCCACACAACAGACTCTTTCTTTATGTTTAAAAACTGTCATACTACTGTATGTATATAACTAAATCTTATATATACATATTGTTACGACAGCAGAAGTCTCGTGACGCTGCTAGTGCATTGATGCTGGTGGCGTGTGCGAGGAGTTTCTCGAATGATCGTTAATATTTTAGTTTGTTTGGGACACCCTCTTTTTTAGTATATAAGCCAGCGATAGATAGATATAAAGATTCACTGAAGATAGAGATAATTGAGTCAAGCGAACAGTATGCACCATAAGTAAAGTGTGTGAATTGATGTGATTTATAGCATGTGTTATAAAGGTTGTTAAGTTTAAAATGACTGTGAAAATTCTATGTACTAAAAAGTTTTATCAAGAAAGATTAAACTAGTTTTAATTAAAAAATTACTTGTAATGCTGTAGTTCCTCCGAAAGTATTTATACTGGAAATTAACATATGACCAGATACGTAACAAATTGGTGTCAGAGAGTGGGATGGAAAATAAAAAAGAAGATGGAAACGAGAAGTGGCAAATCAAACTACAGATTTGATGGTAGCAATACAAGAACAGCAAAAGAAACAAGAAGACCAAGAAAAGAAACAAGAAGAGAGATTACAGCAGTTGTTGGAGGAAAAAGAATAGAAACAAGAAGAGAAATTACAGCAGTTGTTTGAGGAAAAAGAAAAGAAACAAGAAGAGAGATTACAGCAGTGTCAGCTCAAACAGCAAAATAAACAAGAGAGACTACAGCAGTGGTTGGAGGAGAAAGAAAATGAACAAGAAGAGAGACTGTACAGCAGTGGTTGGAGGAGAAAGAAAATAAACAAGAAGAAAGTCTCCAACAGTTGAGAGAAAGCCAGCATACACAACTGGAAAAGATGAGTAAATTTCAAATTGAATTAAATACATTGAAGGACAATTTATTGTCTTTTACACAAGGAGGATATATTAGCCAGGATATAATCAGCCCCAGACAACAGGAAGCCCCTTCCAGACCCCACAGATAAACTCTAATGCAGACATCTTCAGTCCTGCCAGAAGTCATATTCCAGACATGAGTGTCAGCAATAGGGGTGATCTAGTACAAAGGAAGCCACAGGAATTTGATGGGAAGGCACTGTGGGAAGCATATAGAGCACAATTTGAGCTCCTGGAAAAAAATGAATGGATGGACAGAGAAGCAGAAAGCAGTGTATCTGGCAACGAGCTTGAAGGGACAAACACTGGAAATACTTCGACAGTTGTCAGCAGAAGCTGCTCTAGAACTCAAAATCAGTCTGAAGTCTACAGGGGCTAGGTTTAGGACTAGAGACCGTGCTAAAGGGGAGAGCCTGCAAGAACTGGCACAGGATTTGGAAAGTATGGCACACAAGGCGTACCGAACTGCAACACCCGATGTCCTCAGGCTGTTGCTGAGGGATCAGTTTGTAGACGCCTTGGACAGTCCACAACTGAAGATAGATGTATACTTTTATGAGTTTAAAGCTACTTAGGATAAACGAATGTAGTTTCCTGTTTCAATTTTAAGTAATTCTAGAAAGAAAAAGATGGTAATTGTGATTTATTACGGTTTTTTTTGGTGGTTATGAGGTCGGTCAAATTGACCAACCTTGTATACAGGTAGGGTAGCAAAAATAACAGATAAAATAAAATGTTTTACTGAAAACAAACATTTGATGTATTCAGTAGGTTTTAGAGATTATGCAAATGATATTTGAGATTCTTGAGATGAAGAAAAGTATTTTCAATCTTAACACGAAAATCACTTTGCACGTGGACTAATAAAAAACAAATCAATATATTCAGATACAAATTTGTTTTTAGTTTATTAAAGATAATTCACTAAAAAATAGTTACTTACTTAATGGAAAGTGTATTTCAATTTTCAATATCTGGGTTTTTTAATGAGCACAGAGAAAACTGAGAAGCATGTTGTTCTTAAAATTTTGTTGTAACAAATCTTGATAATAGCACCAAACTGTAACTTAATAGTTATTCAGAAACACTACTTGCCTTTCCGCACCACAAAGAATTCTTATCTCGCAAGCATTGCCATGTAATTTCCTGCACAGACCACTAGTATTGAATAAAACTCCCACCCCTACACATGTAACAGGTATTGTGCCAGTCTATGACCTAATCATAATTAGACTATAGCCCTCCACAAATAGGGGGCAACACACCTTCAATGAGTGGTAGCATGTGATCCCAGGGTCATTCTTTCCTCAGCATTGCTTGTGTTCAGATGTGTTTCTTTGAGATTTTGTGGGATTTGTGTGATATTTTGGTCTCTTTCAGTTCATTTTTTATTGTCTCATTCATTTAATGTCTTAGAATCCTTTTATGCTGGATTATGAATATTCTAGTCTATTTAGTCATTTTATACACTAAAAAATACAAATAGAAAAAACATGAAAACTTATAACTCTTGTTGATTCATAGGTCATTTTTGGTCCTGAATTTACAGATCTACCTTTCTGCTACTTCCTGGGACCTCGACACTCTTAATTCTCCATCTACTGTTTCAATATGGCTGGAGGTACCTTGTCTTTGATTTATGTTACTGCCATTTACATTAGATGATTGGTACTCTTCTACTTCATTCCTCTCTCTCTTCCCGGTCACACTTTATTCTGTTTCTATGACTTGTGCTGAATATGCCTCATCTACTGATGAATTTGACCAGCTCCTCCTTCCATCTGCATTTGCTGTTGGTTCTTTTCTTCTTGGCAAGGAAAAGATATCTTTGTCTTCTTTGGAATCTCTGACTGAAGCTGCTCACCAACAGACTTCCCTGGTTTTATTGGTTCCTATCTCATCAGATCACAGTGCCCCAACAGGATCCCCATTCCCAAGAGTCGTGTGTGGATGCCCCTTTCCTGTTTTTCATCCTGTTGTCCTTTCTCACTGTCTCCTCTTTCAGAGAGCTGGCCATCATATTCATTGAAAACTTGTCTAGTGTGCTACTTCTTAGTATGGTTCTGTAGGGTCACAGCTTTCCCTGTTTCTGCACTTGTGAAATCCCTTTGCCAATGATCTTTGGGTCTTTCAGTTGTTTTCTCATGGTTTATCCCTGTGTTTTCATACTTTCCCTCTCATTTCTCTTTGTACATTTGTTTTTCATCTTCCCTCCAATCCCATGTATGTTCAGCATTTCAAGGAGACTGGCTCTGAAAACTGTAAAGAAGGTTCTCCATTTTGCTCAGGATTTTTATTCAGTCTTTTTCTTGTTCCCAAGAATACTAAGGATTGACACCCTGTCATTGATTTTTTTTTATTCTGGAACCATTTTCTCAATGTTGCTTGGTTCAAGATGGATGGTTTTCTTAGTCTGAGATGGATATTCTCTCCTGTGTTGCGAATGACAAAAGTTGGTGTTTCTGATACATTTACTTACATCCACACTTGTCCATTATATCATTGATCCCTCTGATTTGTCCACAACAATCATGATTTTCAGTTCTAGGCCCATCCTTTTGGGTTAGCCATGGCCCCTTAAATTTCAAATCAAGTTGTGTAAGCATTCACTTGGATGATATATTCTTTGGGTCTTCACCTCCATTATTGCATGGATGACTGGCTCCTTCTTAACAAGCTTCTGTAGAAGCAACCTCCCTCCTCCTTTTGGAGGCATCTCATCTGGGCTGACTGGTAAAGTGCTCCAAGTTTGTCTTCAACTCCATTCAATATCTGGTCCAACTTTGTGTCCTCAATCTTTATGTAGTGTGGACTCAGCCATCACCTTTGCCTCTTGAATATTCTGGATTCCAAGGTTCTTCAGTCTCCTACTTTACCTGCACAAGAGGCTCTTGAGTCCTTTATCCCATTTGTACCATGGATGATCAATAAAACTTGTCTCAGGATCCCTTGTTAGCCCTCTTGAATCTCCCTCCAACATGAATTTTCATGCGTACCCCTTCTTTCTGATCTGCATCTGTAAATAGATGCCTCTCTTTCTGGATGGGGGTGGTTCTGGACAATTCTATTATCTTGAAAGTTTGGTGTCCAGAGGAGTAGTCCTTTTATATCAATATCCTGGAAATGTTGACTGCTTATTGGGCTTGTCAGTATCTTCAGTCTCAGTTCATCTGATAATGATACATTTGGACAATTCCACAATTCACATCAACTGTAAGGTGGTACTCATTCTTAGGAACTGTGCTTTTTCATTCAGGAATTTCTCTTTGGGTGCATGGCTATCAAATTCAGCTGATAAAAACCCTATGACCTTTCTTCTTCAGGGGCAAACTGGGAATGCTGGTGTAATCGAATGAGTGATATATAAAGGGAGTTGAATGATATCTGGTTTTCCAGGAAATGTTTAGTATATTTTTCCATGTACTGTTGTAAGTGACTCATTTCTGTTACAACATGGCCGGCAATGAGAGCATTATGTAAAAAGGTGTTAGGGATATTTTGCTTTAGAATTGGCTAAATTTTGTTAAACAAGACTGATGTCTGTAGGTTTACTTTCTTCTTAGAA